CCATTTTTTAAATGGGAAATTTGCAAAAAATACAACTAACTTGTGCATAGTTTATATACAAAGTTATCATTTTGTCTTCATAAGTAGTTGGTAACGTTTAATATAAATTGTTTTTGTTTTTGGTTTTAAGTTAACCTTCATATTATAACATTTATTCAAATTGTGGTTTTTGTCATTGAAAGTTTTTTGATCCATCAAAGTGGTAGTTGGTAAAATTTTCCTATCTAAATTTATATAATTAGATATAATATCTAATAATAATTTAACTAAATAATCATATTGAAATCGATATTGGAAAATTAATTCTATTATAAAGCAAAAAGAGAAGAAGATGGCGTTTAAACTTCAAACTTCAAACAAATAGGGGAATAACATTAGGTTAGTTAAATGAATAACCAATATTGAATCTTGATTGCGAAATGTTGCGTCAGGTTTTACCGGGAAAACGTAGTAATTTCCTCCCCCTCTCCCCACCAAAAAAAAATTCATATCTTTTCAGATAGACACGAAAAACTATTCTCGTAATATTTTTCCACAAATTAAAAGTTTAACGTCTCATTCCTCGTAATTCTGAATTTTATCGGTTTATTACATAACCCGATTGTAAACCAAATAAATCGGTTAGTAAACCGAATTTGTAACCCGAATGGTATTAAAACCCGACTCAGACCCACTCCGTTTACCCATTTATTTAAACCAAATACAAAATCAAAAATCCTTAAATTCAAAAATCTCCGAGCGACCCGATCATCTTCGAAACTCAATTTCTCTCCTCTGACCAACTGTGACTGAGTTGAAAAAGGTCCAAGTCGGTGATAATGTGTTTTGTACTGGCTATCACGTGGAGTGGACTCTTGTTTGTCTGAAATATCATTCTGTTTTTGACTTGTAACAGTGTTATTATCTAATCGGCGCCAAAAAAAAGAGACTTTATTACTTTGAAATATACATATGTAACATACGATAAACTGATAACATGTGAATTGAGGATTTTGTGAGCTGGGGATTTTTTTTATTGTAAACTAGATTTTGATCCACGCCAAACGTGAGATTAAATAATTAAATATATTTTTAATATATTTTAATATGTAAATATGTCTAACAAATCATATGAATTCTAATATTTATAAACTTACAAAATAATATGCATTGTGCATAAGTATAATCAAGTTAAATTTTGATCAAACATATTTTGATACCATCAATTTTAATATTTTTATGTGCAATTGATCAGAACATATGAAAATGTTATTTATTTCAAAATATTTTAAGTGTAAAATTAATTTTTATTATTCGTGTAAATTATAGAATATGCGATAAATCAATTAAATTTTAGATTTATATGAATTTGTCGGACATAATAAAACGAAAAGCAATATTTAATTTTCTATAATGAAATGTGTTAAAATTTTATATATCATATTAATCTAAATTCATATATATACAATAAATAATATTGTCACAAATATAATAATAAAAAGTTTATAAAATATAAATAATATTTTTTAAAATTTCTTAGTATAAAAGAAGTTTTTAAAATAGATAATATGGTAAGTCTAAATATTACATTTAGTTGGACTTAGATTTGCAAAACATGTATTAATGGGTTTATGCTAATAATTAATAAAAATATGTAGAATTAATTGAAATGTTTTCATTGGTTAATTTAGATGACATGTTTCTTGAAACCTTCATACACATATGATTTTCATCTTAGTGTCTCCTTAATTAATATATAGATAATGATTTGGGTTAGAATCAGGTTTGGTTCTTTTAATCAGGTTACTATTTTGTAATCGGGTTATTATATGGTTAAGAAATAGTTTTGTTTTCTGCTAATTTGGTTAAGATATATTTGGTTTATAGTAAACCGAGATTAAACAGATTTGGTGAATATTATTTTAATTTTTATTTCGTGGTGAAATAAATGTTAAACTTGCATTCTATGGAGAATGAGACGTTATATTTTTAGTTTGTGGAGAAATATTACGATGATAGGTGATATGAAATTTT